TTGTTGCCTGCAGGGCACGATTTTGCACTGACATTGTGCTTTTGAGACGTTTGCATCGATGCAGACTGCAGCAGTTTCTCTTCAAAGCTACTGTACAATATTAAACCCTTCTGCATGGTAATGTAACGCTTGGTCTTTTTTTGCGGAGAAAATAATACTAATAATAACGTAAATCTTGGCCTTCCTGTGCGGAGCAACGTAGAAAACAGAAATGATGCCGTGAAAAGCAAAATGCGGAGCAAAAAGCTTAACGGTGAAATTTTCTGATGCGGAAGGGTTTCATATTTCAAAGTAGTCAGGCATGGATGTTAGTTACTTTGCAATGCCCTGACACCAAGTTAGCATCTTCAGTGCATAAGCAGCTGCCTTACCAGTCCGAAACTTTGACCACAGCTCAATAGCATCGTTCCCACGCTTGAGGACCACTTCAAAAGCACCAAGCCGGGGCGAGCCCTGAATAACAACACGTCCTTTAGAACATCTCAAGGTTCATACCCGATGGCTGACTTCATAGGCCATGGCCGACTAAGGTACACCACAGACAAGCCAGCAACCCCACAATGGGGAGCAAACAAAAGCAGGTCACTTCTGAGTTGACCATCCAGCAGGGAAAACGCACTGCTGGTCTCAACCAGAGCACCAATTCCATGGACACACCAGAAATGTGTCCAGATATGACATTTGACTCGTTGAATTGGGCCCGCCCAAACTTACAGCTGCATGGACAGTCAGACTGACAGAAACTCAATTCCGAGTCACCATAATCTGAACGTTTACTGTGGAATACCAAAAGCAGCACAGGCAACCCCTTTAAGCAACAAATGGAAGCACCGCACATGTGTGCCACTGTGTGTAATGGCTGCCAGTTGCAGTCTGTTTGCGAGTGTGAAAAGTGCCAATTCTTGGGTTACACTTGTCACAAACTGACATGACACAGACCGTGCACCTGTGAGCCGATGCTGGGCACATGACTATGCAGAGTCTTGAATATATGAGGGACAACGCAGTTCAAACACTTTGGATGCCGTGGCGCCCTGCATTGAGTTTGAGTTGGTAGCATCCCAATTGGCAGCGCAGGGCGCTGCCACTGCTGCACATCTAGCTCATGGCCCATGCTTTCCCTGGTTGCCGAAATCCCCGCCAGCGCCCAGGGTGCTTCGCCTCTTTAGCGCGAACGGGTCGTGCTCCAACAGTATCGGCGCATGCGCTGGACGACGACGTCCCCTTACCTCCGGATTGCCCCTCATTTCGAAGACGCCAGGAAAGGCATCCTCGACCTTGCCCTTAAGGCTCTCGAAGCGGGGACCGTACTGTCATGCAACACTGCAGCGCACAGCCACACGACAATCCGGTCAAACGAAGCGCAATCCTGGCTGCCCAAGCAGCCCCACAGGTTACGCTCCAACTGTCAGCCCCGAGGGCGAGGGAGAGAACATCATCGGCGGTCGCGAAGGGCCCGGCGCTTGGGCGTCTTTTCCGGAGATATGACGATTGCCTTTCACAAGCAAACGCAACGGCAACGAGGGAACCCTCAGGCCCCATGTTGCCAGAGACAAGCATTGCCTGCCAAAAGGGCTGCCCTGGCAACTTTTTCACGTCCTCGACGGTCGGAACAGCAGCAGCTGCCTGAGCCACAAAAAGCGCACTCCGCCCATGCAGGCAGGAATGAAACGTGCTACAGGCCGCACCAGTATTCCACGTCGATGACCATCTTCCCGGGGGCCCCGCCTGCTCGAGAAGTGCACCCACATCCACGTGTCAAGCACACCGGTTACGTCCACAGGGCCACCCACCACACTTGGCCGTCAACGGCAGTCAGCCCCGCAGCACCGGGCCCATCGCCCCTCCGCGGCATTCCACCGCCACCGCAAAGCGATCCGCCCCCCGGCAACTGACCGACACAATTGAACCAGCGCCGCAGCGCCAAACAAACAGCAACGGTCCAAGAGCGGGTGCTGGGCCAATGGACCACTGAGCCGCGCTGCTGCAGAGACGCCAGCGATCCCGGACGCTTGGGCGACGGCTCACCGCTGGTGTCCATGGCCAGCAGAGGGCGCTTGGCCGTCGCGCTCGTGTCGCTTCCAAGGCCTTGGTTTCGAAACCGAAACCTGGAAAACCCTACCGCGTGCTGTGGGGGTTGAGGATAAGGCGACCCGGCAAGTGGGCCTTCTGCCACCGGTCCATTGCGCCGTAAGCATTTGAAGAAGGCGGTGTGACTAAATGTAACGGATGCGTCAATGGGGACGCCCCAGTTACAGGTTATGGGTTGCGGGTTTCGAGAGTGGGTCTCACCGTGCGCGTTCATTGCAATTTCCGTCGAGATCAGTCACGGTCTCGGGGACCTCACCGTTCTCCCAAAAGCGGGATTGCTTGCTGCAGCAGTGATGTGGTGGGTGCGCAGCCAAGGTGGGTTCATGGCAGCCCTGGAGTGGGTTGGAGAAATCCATGGCAACTCTGCGGTGAGTCAGCTCGAGCTGCGTCCTCCCGTGCGGGCTGCGACGAGCCACAGGAGGCGTCGGGTGGCAACGACACCTGGAAATGGGAGAGCAGAGCGGATGGGCAGGGCAATTCTCCTACTAGTTGTAGTAGGACAAGCTTCCTTGCTGCTTGTAAAAGGCTTGAGTACACTGATGTGCATGGTTTTAACAACTCGGAATTCTGTTCCCCGCCAGCACTTTTGCTGCGTCTGCAACCTGCATTATTGTTAGGATGTTGTGGCTTGGGTGCAGTCGCTATGATGCAGGACAGCTCCGAGCTCAGCCATTTGGGTGTGTAGAGCCCATTGTGGCAGTAACAATGAACTGGAGGTTGCAAAAAGAGATCCACATCATCGCCATCAAATCAATGGCCCCTCACCTTGAATTCCACATGCCCTTGCGATGCCCAGTAAAGGCTCATCAGAATTGACAGCTGTCACCAGTGCCACACTCACCTTTGGCCTTGACAAGACCTGCCCCTCTACAATTCCTGCTGTGAGCCAGCTTCCGATGGCTGCAAACCATCTTGAATTCATCTCCCTGTCAGGGCACCCCCCTTGGTTCATCGGCTCGAATCGGAGATAGCTACCCAGTTCAGTGTGCCATACTCCCAAACACAGGGCAGCAAAGACCTGTGACGGGCAGAAATTTCTCGACCGCTGACGCGCCCCAACCCTCCACCTCCCTTTCAGGCAAAAGTTTGAAACAGGTCATGATCTGGCCAGTACCTGAGAAAGATCCCGAATGGGAACCCTGCTTTCCTGGTTTTCAGCACGTAGATTCTTGTCAACACTGCGAGCACCGGATTCTATTGGAACTGTGGGTAGCTATGATTGTCCCAGGGTCTGCAATGCGGATTGGCACATGACTAGAAAATGGAATCAGACATGAGATTACTTTCTTTTGGGAGATGGGAGGGTTTTCGGGATTCCGGGGGAGGTAGTCTGTGCGACAATGAACAAAACATGCGATGCATTCAAAAACACTGATCTGGATTCTGTGCCCAACATCGCCTCTAAGGTGCAAGGGCAGTGTTTGGCCATGTTTATGTGACAAATGTAATCAAAGGATTTGAGAGAACCCTGCTGCACAGGCAATGGGCGTCGCCTCGAACAGAAATAGGCACAAGCGTGCTTCCATTTTGCAGATCTGTTCCACAAATTCTCACCGGTTGCTGCGCAACATCCACATGCAAGGAACTTATTCAATGTGCATTGGGGATGGGCGGGGAATAGCGGAAGGGGACTGAAGTGCACCTGCGAGATGAAAGTATATTTTGCACCTTGACGTATTCATGCGCGCGTTAATGTAGGTCTTGATGCATCAATATGCACTGAGTTTGTGTACTGCCAATATACTATTTCTGCAGTCGCATTATCACGAAACCAAGGACCGGGCAACAGAAGAACTGGTGTGGGTCCAGTTCCTGCACCACAACCGGCAACCTCAAAAGAACACTTGAGCCAGAGGCGTGGACCTAAAAGCCAGCGCATCCAAGAAGCCGAGTCACAAGGTGCAAGCCGCACACCCAAGCTTCCTCCGATTCAAATGGTTCATGGGCTGCTGGGACGCCGTGCATGCAAATCCTGCCCAACTCTCGGTCAACGGCAAGTCTCCGAACCATCGAGGTACCATGTCGGAAGGAACCCAGGAACCATCCCGCAAGAATCTGTGCCCTGGACGGCATGGTCGGCGAGATCGACAAGATCCAGCAAGGTACGGCACGCCCAGCAATACAGCATTGCGACAACGGGGAACACGAGCGGACGCCCGGTCGGCGCGATAGCGCCAACAGCACGTACAGCGTCGGGCGCACAAGTGGCAGCGGCGGAGAGCACGGCGGTTCGCACGCCTGCAAGACCCGCCACCCCTCGAGCGCAGTCTGACAATGGTCATGTCACACCGCGCAGGCGAGCAGCAACTTACTCGTTATCGGCCCAGCCGCAGCCGGACGCGCCTAGGCCCTGAACTCGTGACGGGTAGAGGAGACCGACGGGCGTCATCGTCTCTCGCCTTGCGCCAGGCACCGCCGCTGCCAAGGCCAAGGCCGTCTCCGCTTTCCCCAACGCCAACCACGCTCGCCAGTAACACGAGATGCCCCTGAAACCCCCTGCTGGTCAGTCCTGTCGCAAACATGCGTAAGGACCGCCACGATGGCTCCTTCTGACTAAGCCTCCGGGGTAGTAACCCTGCTTCCCTGGCCTGCATGGCGCCCCCTCACCCCCCCCTGGAAGTATGCAACGGCCAGGCCGCTCTCGCCACCACTTCCATTTTTACGTTTCTTCGCGGGGCGCCGCCCCCCCCCCCCCGTCCCTCCCCCCGGGTTTCCACCCACCGCCTACCGCCTGGCAAACTTTTCTTACACCGCCGGGCGTCCCCCAGGGGCCCTAAATGCGCGGCCCTGCAACAGCGGACGTCGCAGCTAGCGACAGGAGCCCATTCCCGTCAAGAGTAGGCCCTGCGCGCGCAGGTGGGACTTGAGACTCAGCACCAAATTTGCGGCCTTGGCACGCGGGCGACGCGATGGGCACCGACCGCGGCGGCGCCTCCGGCGGCTCCTCGACGGTGACCTTCGACGTGCGCGGCAAGGACTTCAACGTGGCGCTGGACACGCTCGACAAGTACCCCGACTCGTACCTGGCCTGGCTGGTGCGCAACGCGCCGGACCAGGTGAGGGCTGGCCGGCCGATCGCCATCAACCGGAAGCCGGAGTCCTTCAAGAACCTGCTGGAGAACTACAGGTGGGGTGGGAGGTGGGAGGTTGGGAGAGAGGGGGGGGGGCGCCGCCGTGGCGATTGGTCTGCATTCAGTTTTGGCAGCGGGGCCAAAAATGGAGATGGGGAAAAAGGGAGGGGAAAAGAAAAGGAGGCGAAGCACCAGGTTGCCACGGGAGGGTTCATGGCTGCGTGGTTTTTCGGCTTGTGCGGCGCCGCGTGTGCTGTGGAGGATGGTGGGACGGAGTGGGGCATCCTTCGGGCGGGGTGCGCGGACGGCGGCCGCAGCCGCCCGCCTGCTCGGCGCAGTGCGCTGGCGCCGGCGGGGCGGCCGCATGGCCGCTTTTGGGGTTTTCTTGGGAAGGCTGTGTCGTTGCATGGAGCGGGGGCGCTGCATTGTTCGTTAGCCCGCGGGCGGGCCCGGGTAGATCTGCCCGCTTGCGCGCGCGCCGCCTCTTCGTGGGGGACTGGTTTGCAGAACAAGCGCTGGGGTGCACGACGCGTCTTGTCGAGTCGAGCGCAGCTGAAGATCGCCCTGTCGTGGCCCGCGACGCGCGTGACCGGCCCCTTTTCTTCCGCTGTTTTGCCCCTCATACGCTTCTGCGCGTCCGCGGGCGTGCGAAAGCCGCTGAGAAGTTGAGCTGCGCGGGCGCAGCGTCGCGGAGGGCGCCACGCCTGACCCCCCCGGCGACCGTCGGCGGTGGCCGCCCCTCCGCGTCGCCGTCGCGGGCGGCCCTTGCGCTTGCCGCGCGGGAGCGTATCTTCCCGGTCAGATTTTTGTTCGCAGAAAGATTGACGGATCGTGGCAGGGGTGGGTTCATGACGGACGGTGGCGCCAGACCCTCCTCGAGAGGCCCTTGATCCGCTGAATGTGGTCTTTCCACACCGCGTGGCGGCTGGGCTTCGCGTGACGACCTGGGTCTCCATGAAAAAAGACAATGGGCTGAGGCAGAAAAGTGCTGCCACATCAACTCTGGATGCGGTTGAGAGAACACGATACGGCGTGGACTTCGCCTGCTTGGCTTGAGCCCCAACCCGCTGGGCGCGGGCACGGCGGCAGCGGCGCACGGGGCAAGGGGCTGCCGTGCTTTTGGACAGGGCTTGCGCGAAGGCCGATCGTGCCGCCTGAAATCGGGGCATGGATGGCCGGGGCGTAAGACCGACGGGAGATCGCCTCCGTCGTTCTTGGGGCTGCATTTTCGCGCAGGTGACGAGAGCGCGACGCTTCTGCGCGGAGCCCTGAGCCCCTTCACTCCGGCGCAGACTTCCCAGCCTGCCCAGCCTACCGCTGGCTATCTCCGCTGGCCGTTGTGGTGCTTGGTGGCAGTGCTCATTGGCGAGGCTGCCACGGACCAGATCTCCACGCACAAGACCGCCTCGGTGGCGTTGCACAAAGACGGCCTCGCTGGCCGCAGCGTTTGCGCTTGTAAAAGAGTGTGCAAGGCCCCCCCGGCCAGGTTATTGAGCGCCCAACGTTCTTCTTGCGTGGTGCACCCATCCACCTCGCGCCAGGGCCAGAACTGTGCGCCCCAGCAGCCAGGTTGGTGGGCGCAATACGAGGCAGCCGCGTATCCCTTGCAAGGATTCCAGCCGGAATCCGCCCGCAGCCGTGTGCCTAGATCGTCACTCGACGGTGCCACAACCGCAAGAGCACCCGTTGGCTGCCGCCCTGGTCCGCCCACAAGGTCGCTGTGACTTCATGGCGGACCCTCAAACGGGTGCACCTTTCCCAATCACAGCGCTGCACTTTAAATACGGGTACGATGGCTTGGCCAGAATGGCGCTTGTCCAAGTTGTCACTGATCCCTGAGGAACTGTGTGGCAGGATAGAATTGGAAAAATTGGGTGGTCGAGACGCGTCGTTTCATCTCATTGTTGAAACAGTGAGCTCTGCGCAAAATAGGCGACTGCTGAAGAACCACTAGGGGTAGTTGGTTTGTAGACTTCAGTGTGTGATAAGCTGGACGAGTTGGTTGTCATGGCAAGCGGAGTTTCATGGTATTCACGGTCGCTCTAGTTGCCTGAACTGAGCAGGGTTAATTCAAGTGCGCGATTAGGGTAGCGTTTTGGTTGGTGATGTGCAGCGTTCGTTTTCCTAGGAATGTGCAATTAGGATAGTTGCTTATGTTCTTCATCCCACAATAATTGTTCGCAGCGACCTTTTGCGCACGACTTGCCCATCACAGAATCTTCTGTTTTGGATAAAGATTCTTCCATAATTGCAGCCATGACTGTTGAGGATATTGTCAAAAATTCAAGTCAATCCATCATGTATGGGGGAATCGGCCCCACTATGTAGCAAGTGTCCCATGGCCAGAAGACCTTGAATTTCAGTGTCACTGTGAAAACGGTTCGTTGTGTGATCGTGAGGACCACACACGCCTTGACGGCGGCGAAACAGAGCTGCCTATATTGACCATCCACATCTGCGGGCAATTTCTTTGCTTGCCACTCGAAGGGACAACAGCGGTCCAGATCCCAAGGGCCTTAGTGAAATTTATGGCCAAAGCAAGGGCGACGTTAGGGGCTGCACAGAAGGGTTTGGGCTGACCCGTTTTAGAAGCAGGTGGCTGTGGGGGTTGCGCCCAATGTTTCCATATCTGACCGGCTTTGTGGTTAAAGTCTGTGCATTGAACGAAGTTTTTGTTTAAGACAGTGTACAATAACGAATGGAGGAAGTACTAACAAATGGGGTGATCGCATAAGGAATAAGGGACTGAAGAAGGTTCGAGGACCTGGGAGCACGAGTCAATGCTGTACTTTGTCTTTGGTGGACAACAGGACGAACCCCAAACCCAAACCACCGCAAAAAAGGAAAAAAGAAGAAAACGGCGCTTCAGCGAAAAGACCACAGCGTCGACCGTCTTTCGCCTGGGACCGCCGCACCTCTTGACGTCCCCCTGACGTCCCCTCTGGCCCCCGCGCTTGCATTGTGCGCTCACCATTTCGCGCCGGAGGCTCCATATCATCTATTCACGGCATGGAAAAGAGTCTCGCATACACTTGCTTCGGAAGGGGTGCCCTGTTCCTTTCTCTCTTGTAACAAATCTTGCCCTCTGCCGCCCGCAGGAGGACATCCCGCCGCAGCGACGTCTCGTCGCTGCGCGACGCATTCCACCGCGCCTCCCTGCGGTCCACCCGGGACCGCAGCCCTGCGCCGGTCCCCGACGACGACCAGCCCCCCTCCACATCCTCCCGCGCCCCCGGCAGCCACCGCAGCCACAATCAGCATCAGCATCAGCAGCATCCCCCGCCACCCCCTCGACCACCATCCTCCCTGTACGCATCCGCCGCGGAGGACAGCATCTCATCTGCGCTCGCCGCCAGCAGGCGCGGCCAGCCGCCCGGGAATGCGGGCGAGGCGGCGGGATTGCCCACGGCCGATCGGCCACGGCGCACTGGGTCCACGGGCACGCTGGGCGGCGCCGGCGGGCAGCGCGGCACAGAGGAGGTGGTGGACGAGGCGGTGCGGGACATCGCGGCGACGCTGAAGAAGTGTGCGCACAAGGTGGGTGTCGGTCGGGACTGCGCTCCGTTTACAACACGATTTCCTGACGGTCATCGAATTGGCTTGTCACCTAAACATCACAATGGACGAAGACAGGGCCGACACTGCGGGATGCACGGGCTGGCTTTTCGTTGTTCTGGGACTTGTGGCACATTTAAGAGTGCAGGCCCGTGTTGGATGACGTTGTAGGAACAGGATGCTGTTCCTCGCACCTTGCAGGCGATGACGGGCGTGTTTGCATGTGCAATGATTGCCTCGACTCGTTGGATCGGCGCCAGCATAGCGTGTGTTTAGCGGCATTCAGCTGTGTCCCAGCCTGCCAGAGCTAGCAAGGAATGTTTTTGTCTTTGATTGTATTTTTTCCATGGTATTGATGGAAGTTGGGGCTGGAGGATTCTGGGTTTGACTGAATTCTTGCCATACTGCAAAGACTTGGGTTTTAATCGAAGCAGTTAATTTACACTGCGGCCAGCGAAAGGGGAGCTGATGGTTACCTCCTTGCCCCGACTGAAGGAATAGGAAAGGACCTGCCTGACAGCCTGACAACAGCAAGAGCGATATCAGATGAACAAAGAACTCCTGGAAAGCCGCAAATTTTCTCTCTGGCTGGTAAAACCGACGCATTGTTGTGTTTTCCCCCTGCACTGCACCTCGGTGTTGTTGCTGATACTGTTGTCGGCCCATTGTTACAGGTGCAGATGTACGACAAAGCACTGTTCGTGCTCATCTGGGGTCGCAAGAGCGAGGGTGGCCGTTCCCTGAGGCCCCAGCTGTCCAAGCTGTACGACAGCATGACCGGCAAGGCGCATGACGTGCGACGCAGCTCCGATGGCGGCGATTCTTTCGAGCAGCAGGGCGGCTGGGGCGAGTTCGACTCTGTGTATTCTGCCACCTGCCTGAGCGCGCGTGTGCAGAGCATGGTAGTGGATCGCCTGCGGCGTGCTGGCTATGGCGCGAGCTTTGCAGAGGTGTGCTTGGACAGGGCTGGGCACGTGAACTGGCGAGGGAGCCGCCGGGGGTCCCAACCTGCACTGGAGAGCTCCACTGTCCGCTGCCTGGTGGCCAACCTGAAATGATAGGGGGGTTTGGGCAGGCTGCGCAGTCGACGAAGGCTGGCCCCGTTTTCTTTTCACTTTGGACGTGAACCCTTATTCCTTCGAGGCGAAAATGAGAGGAATGTTACCAGCAGGAATGGAGACTGGGGGGTGGGCAACGCAAACTGGTATAGGCGCCAGACATTTTCTGTTGAGCCTGGAACAAGGAGAAGCTGCTGGAATCGAGTAACAAGGCCGCGAACTTTTCAGAGCTCCTTCGATTTTCGAATTTCTCTGCTTGATGGAAGAGCGCATAATGTTAAATCTCTGGGTGTCACATGGAGATTTTTGGATGGGATTATTGGGTGTTTGTTTCGCTCAAACCTTCCAAGGTGATAGTAAGCGGAGATGGGCCAGTTTCGGTTGTTCCAACGGTGGGCTGCGCGTCTGCCCTGGGTGGATGACAGGTAGGCCCAGAGATGCCACCGGGGTGGGTGACAGGAGTGCAGCTGGGTGTGGCAGGCTGGCCATCCTTGGGGATTGCCGCCTGTGAAACGGAGCGTGCAGAACTTAGCAACTGTCTGCATTTGGGCAAGGCGCAGGGCGGGAGGCAAGCTGGGAACTTGTGAAGATCGCAATAGTAGGTTGCTTGTGGGCGTGTTGATGAAACTATGGAGACGATGCTGCAGGGTTGTTGCCTCGAATGATTCTTCGGGTGGATGAGGGCATGATTTCAGAGGCCGAGGGAGGAGCTGGGAGATTTGTTGGTCCTGTTCCCTTGTTGCTGCCTCGTGTTTTTGGAGAAGACCATGGCTGTCCGACTACGGAGGTGTGACTGAGGCCACTGTCCAACATTGCGAGGTTGGTGGAACGAAGCATAAGATGGGAGGGTACCGTCTGGCAGCGAGTGGGGTACGGGGCAGGGAGGTAGAGGGCGGGATGTGTTGTGACGTTTTTGTGGCGGAAAGTAACGAATGAGGGGGGATTGTTTCCTATTGTTTGTTGAAAAAGATAAAATGAAGGGGGCACACGGAGGGGGTTGGGTGGATTTTCACACTGCCCAGCATATGAAGCTGCAGGCTGTCGGGAGTGCATGGATTGGTGGCGGCCAGGCCCTTTTATGTGGCGTGTGCAGCACAGCAGTAGGCTGGCGTGCTTGTCGTTCCATTTTGGCCCACTGGAGCACGTCCACTGTTGTCTGGTGTGGCTGAGTGTCTAGGCTGCCAGCCGGCCAGCTGGTAGGCTTGCTGTGAAGGGGACCCTGTTGGAATGGAGGACGAAGGTACGTGGAGGAGGGGGCGCAATGTTGCCAGTCCCGTATTTTGTGAATCTTGTGTTGTCATTCCGCCTTTTGACATTGTTATACCAGTGGGCGCATGTAGGTCAGCGATAGTCGCAGTGGAGGTCTGCACACAGTCTGTGTTGGCACAGTGCGAGTGGCTGAGGCGGCTGTGCTGGGCGCCCACAGGGCGATGTCTGTCGATTGCCCTGTTGATATTATGAACTTGTAAGACGCGTTGCGAGTGGTCCAATTCGTCGCCCGGCAAGCAGGAGAGGTGTGTGAACGGGGTCTCTGAAGCGAGGATCCAGTCCGCATTGCCGGAAACTATCGGAGTAGAGACTAGGCATAGGTATCGTCGTGCTGTGGCCATGCCTGACGATGACGCCCTCATTTTTTCCGCTGGCTCGCGCTGGTACGGTGTGCATGTAGTGTTGTGGAGGGACACAGGAACCAGTGGCGTATGGGAGTTGCGCACAATTGGAACAGACTGTAACCTAGCCTGATTTGCTATTGCATGCCTGTGCGCATCCATCTGGAGCAGAATACGCATTGGCTTTGCACCCACTTGTTGAATGGCCATCGCGTGTGACAGCCGATTATGGCGGGTGAGTCACGGCCACGTACATATGAGTCAGAGCGAACGTCCAATCCAAACGCCCAGACAGAGGCACCCAAGCGGCACGCATCAACCCACTACAATTCCAAGCGCAAATGTACAGAGAAGTTGAAAGTGATTAGGGCAGCTGGCTGAACCGGAAATGAGTCCTGTCGCAGGCTGCGGCGTGACCCGTCTGTCGGCCTGAGCTGCCCACCCGCGCAAGTTCCCTAGCCAAATTGGCCAGCTGCAATGACTCACCGCGCATTAAAGAGCGAAAGATGCGCCAGACCAGTGCATTCACTTTTCGAATTAGCCCAGCAAGCCTCACGGTGAGAATCGGACCATAGGCAAATAGATTGACGCAGACCACAGTAAGTAACGCAGCACCAACTGCTGTTCAAAGTTGGACCAGCTGATGGGTGTTTATGAGCACGCCTGCCCAGTCTTTAGTACTATTCCCAGGGCTTCTTACACTGCCAAACGACACCAATATGTCATCGGAGTACAGTTTGACGTCCAGCTTTTCCGCTGGTTTTGTGTGCACTCAGCACAGTTCAGCTCTTTACAACTTTCTTAGACAGCCCTTTCCAGCTCTTTCGTAGGTGGTGTGTCTGATTTTGGGTCAGTGAATGTCCCTGAGCTACTTGTGTGTTTCCTGACAGGCTGCTCTTCACTGGAGCAGGCGGGCACTCCAGATTTCTGCGCTTAATACGGGGAGTGTTAGTCTCGCAGGGCCTAGTATTGTTTTGAAAGTTCTTCTCGGGCTGGCTCATGCCTTAAACCTCAAGGTTGTATCTGACAAAGGACAACATGTAACGAAATATAATTATGTCCTAGTTGTCTCTTGGTGATGTTCACATGTCTATTCCGGTCCCCTTGCACTTCATTGGACCTATCCCACCAAGGAGGTCTCCGCACCTCACAATATAGACGAACTTGATGCACTCTTCTAAATGTCTCTTCCGGTGATGGTACACTAACAAACCCCAAACACTCTGAACAATACGTCCCTTTCAGCCTTACTGCTCCCTTTTAGTCACCCGAAGCCGGTCACAACACACTAGACATTGGTACAACGCTCAGAGGGGGCCCCGAAGGCGTTCCCAATCAACAAGGGGCCCCAAAGGCTTCCCCAGTGGGTTAGGTCTTATGTACTAGCAATACTTCACATGGCTTTGGGGCCCCGCAGGCGTTGCCAATGGACCCGTGATAAATAATTGCAATTACAAAATACTAGTGCAAGAGTGGCCGTCTGACATGGCAGCCACCCAGACGGAAATCCACAAGGTGCCAAGCCTTCGCCTGTCCTGCCTTCCGGCTCGATTGGATTTGTGTCGACAGAGACGAATCTGGGGACGCACAGCTCCCCTGCTGTCACGTCCCCAGCGATTCCGCCACGTAAAATCCAACTAAAACGGGCCTCCTGGCCTTGCACGTCTGGGCTCACGCAGAAATCCAGGCCTTGGGTGAGGGACACGCGGAAAGCCGCTTCGGTTCTCACAGAGTCGCTTGGAAACCCATGCACTCGAATGGCAAAAATGCAGTGGGCGCGATCTGTCGATATCCGAGCGCAGGAGACCTCAAATTCCTGGCCGCAAAGCCATTCTGGTCGGGCTGTGCGCCACAGCCTGCGTGCACGGGTCGCGCACGTCGAGACTGTCAACAGGGTGCTTACAACGTTGCGGACTATGGTCCGTCCCGTTCAGCACCTGCGACACTGGGCACAGCAGCATGCAGCATGCGGCCCGCACACAGCACGGCAGCCACTCCCCAACCACCCTAGCCATGTCAGAATGGGCGGTACAACACAGTCTTATACAATTTCCATCCGGTTCGTTCAAACATGGCAGTTCACATCATTCTCACCCTCCTAGCGCATCATACTCTACTATTCGTATCGCGTCTGAGCGTGCTTCCGCAAACCTCACAGCATGCTCTTCTAATCCTCACGTAGCCCCCTTGCAACACTCATGTGGGCATCACTTTACTCCCTCGTCACTTTCCAGCACACGCACAGCACAACTATCGAATCTGTACTGCGACCTGAGAGATTTGCAGGAATGCTCATTCACACCAATGGCTCCGCCTGCCCTTTTCCCGCACCACAATGTACTGCTCACAAACAATGCTGTGGCGTCACAGCCACGCCACAAATCTACCCAGTGATACTTCTTGGTTGAATTAAGGGCTGATACACTCACCCAGCACATCAGCGACAAAAGTCTAAACACTTTCATAATCAAATTCATGACCAAGTTCTTGATGTTTCCGTGCGCAACAGGTCGCATCCCTATTGGGCTATCGGACCTCATAGAACCATGTTAAATACATCTGCCTAAGGCAGAAGAATTGAAAAGCGATGACGTCAAAACTCGCCCTAGGCTGCCCTGGATCAATTGTGTATTGATCAGCATGAAAATCCATGTCAACATTGGCGTTTTGGTGCATGACAATCACTGAGAAGTCAGATCTGTTCCACAAGCACTTTGAGAATTCCTCAGTCACTTAAGGCCGGACGTCAGAGCTTTGATTTGTCAGTTTCTTCAGCTTAGGCTTGCAGCAATTTCCACAAATTTCCAGTTGCACAATGATATTAATCACATAGATTGAACATCATCTTGTTTGAAATTTAGCAGTACAGTCATCGAATTGCGTGCACTGCCTTGCAGATGCCGTAAATCGTTGTAGCACGCACCACCTCCTCTCTTGGGTCACTTCCAGTTGACCAGCTTTGATGGAAAGCTTGGCCAGCATTGGCAAAGTCTTCCCATCTGGGAAGGCGTTTGAGACGCACAATCTCCGCCCTGCATCGCCTCACTGGATGCCCACGTTCGCTGCCCTGTCTGCCACTATTACTAATCTAGTAGCGGTACACCATTTGGGCCCCCAGAGCCCGCCCCATGTCCCATGAGACCGTTGCTGCATTGCACTACCACCAGCGCTGGCGCCTCTTGCCGTTGCACATTCCGCAAGCCGCAATCCCGCGCAGCCATCGAGGCCTCCACCCGGCTAGTGGATCCGTCGGCGAAGATTCGCTACGAGTCGCAGCCATCGCCGGTCCCGCCGATTGCCATCGGTGCTCGCAGGCCCTCGATCCCGACTGCTGGTGCGAGCCAATCGGACACGCATTGCAGCGGCCGATCGGTGCAGATCCATCCTCCGAGCAATGCTGCAGTTTGAAAGAATTTTCGGAGTGGGGACGCAGCTTCCTGAGCCAAGCTTGCACGCCCAAGGGGGTGGCGCCCCGAGCCCAGCGCGTCGCGTCACTTCCTGGGATGTAGGACCTCCGTGGCATCGGTATCGTGCCCCGTATCTTGGTAGAATCGGGCGCGCATCGAGATAGCCATACGACTTGCAACATTGCTATCTCCGTATCCTCCTTTATTGCTGGAGTTCGTCCTTCTATAGGAGATTCGCCAATTCCTAACCACATTTTGAGGCTCACAGGTCGCCAGCTTGCCATAAATTTCATATCATATATTGGCGACCCGAACACTGGATGGTCAGACATTTCAAGGAGACATTGTCAGGCAAAAATAATTACAACAGTATTGTAAGTAGATGTATTGTAGTATACTATAGTAGTAGTATTGTATAGTAAGCAGTAGTGTAGTATTACTGACTTTCACGGGTAATGACCTGTACTACAAGGGGAAACGGTTAGTTTTCTAGTTGGTCTCTTTGCCCCAAGGCCCAGAGCCACCCAGAACCGCTAGTCCAAATGGAGCACGGCCCCACGATTTATAGCCCCAGCGCACCCCCCGCCCCCTCTGAGGAATCTAGGGGAGATTGCCGAATATTCAGGATCATCCCCTGATCACATTGGCTCTCCCTTGCCTTTCCCGTCTCTAGTCAAATCTCAACACGCCTTATTCAAATCAATTCCTAAGTGTCCCTTGTCAACCCGTCACTTTTTAGCCAATATTACTTTCACCAGTCACCTTGGAATCCAACTTGATCCACGCTCTTCCCCCATGGATCAGGTGACCACAGCCATTCCCCATGTAACATCCCATTAATTACTTTATTCAACTCAATTGGCACTCATCATTGTACTGCCATCTTGGATTCATGCTGAAGCGGCCCTTTTAGCGTCACTTCAAAAGTCCAACAAATTCAACCCCCCTGCTTGCGGTCAAGGCCATTATCAGGTACATACCCTTTATCCAGCCAACGGACAAGCGGATTATCAATACGGATCGTCAGTCCCTATAGCATGTCATATCACCCATCAAATCAAATCAGTTGTTCATTGCATGTTACAAAACATGCACTTTTATCACTGCTTTATTAAGTAAAAGATCAGTACGCATTTTCCACGCTTATAACAGGCCAAATCACATCAAAGGCACCTAAGCAACTGCAATTATCTTTGCACAATACTCTATGCTCTCTCTCAATATTATGAATACCTTAGCCCAGCCTCGGAATTACCTGCCATCCGCTCCCTTCTGACAATGGGACGCATCCACACTCAATGCTAGCATCACCCTCCTCCATGTCGCCGTACAGGCCCACTTCTTGAGCGTTGTCCTCAATTGCAATGTAATCCCTGCCGTCCGTCATGTCGACAAGCCCCATGTCGGCATCCCCACCAACTCCTATACCATCTCTGCCACCGTTTCCCGCGCTTGACCCTGCGTCGGGCGCACCATCCAATCCAGCGTTTGCCCGTCCGCCATCCTCACCAGGAGGGGCGCTTGCAGGCGCACCATGGCCGTAGGGATTAGCAATGTCCGTGTCCTCGACCATGTCCAACAAGCCATGTCAGACATTTGGCGGATTTCGAGTTCCGTGGGGCCCCACACCTCGGCGTCCTCGGCCTCTTGCCATTCCTTGTCCATCATGACAAAGTCAAATGCGGTCTTGCCGCGCTCAGTGGCATATGCACACATAACGCAGTTTGCATCATGCGTGCACACGGTGCAATCCTCTGCACCATACCGATTCTGGTCCCTGGGCTGGCAGATCTACCAAGGGCCCAAATTTCTCCCTTCATCAAAATGTGCCTTCCATGGCGGTGACCCGCTTTGTACCCTCTCTGCAAAGAATCCGAATAGAGCACGACCCAGTAGGTAGGGGGGCGCGTCTCCTAAGCACGCTTGCATGCGTTTTCTTCAAGCTTCTACGCCCTCTTGCTAGACGAATTCGACAGCCACACTCCCTCCTCATAGTTGACGAGAGGGAATGCGGCATTGAAGCGAAGCCACACCTTGAAGTGGGAGACGGCAAGGACCTCCCACTTTAGGTCCATTGAGCAGACCGTGTAGGTGACCGGTGCCCCTCCTTGCCCCTCTGATGGGTGCAAGGCGGGGCCCTCCCCCCTCCATCCGAAGCTCCTTGGCTTTTAGTAACCTTTTATCAATCATGCGCGTGCTCAATACCAACTCTGTCCGCTTCCGTCCGTATGTGGACGGATGGACAGTCCGTCCGCGAACTGGTCACATCATTGAGTCAATACTCTACTGCCCGTCAAAGACTGATTCTACAGCAGTGCCGCCACCCGCTTTGGGCCTGTCATTTCATGCCCGCGTGTTCCCAGTTGGCATAGTGGTTTCTTTTGACGTTTCATCACACCCATGCGAGCGAACACAACTAGGTATCCTTGCGGACCGGTGATAATAGATATGCGCGCATCTTTTTGACAGTACATTCCATGTCATAACATTCAGCTAGGTCTATACTTGGGGTGCCAATGGATCAGTAGATTTGCACCCAATCCCAGCAGCGAGTTACTGTCAGGGCTAACTATTCCAAGCAGTTGAAATCTCATTATAATGAACAACACGTCACATTCCGTCAAGGCCTTTCCCTTTGTTGTCATACACTCCTGTCTTTGGTCCCATGTACGGTTGGTCATTATGGGATATCGCTGCAACCCAATTTCATACCTTGTTCCCAATTGCTTTCCTACTTAACATTCCTTAGCACACATCCGTTCTCTTTTCCTTTTAGTCACAATGACCTGCCACTTATGTAAGCATGTTCAGGTGTTGTTGGACTCGGGCGGACGCCCTTTTCAGTCATGGCTGTCGACCTGTCCTTTCATGAAGAGACAGAAGCTGTTTCAGCGATTTCACGGCTGCATAATAACATAACATGCTCAAGGGGCAACCTTCCATGGCGCTTGCTGCTTGCAGCATGCACACACTGTTCATTGACCCCAGATCCATGCAGCCTTCAGGCACGCACACAACTGATGCTCAATCAGCCTTACAACATATGGCACTTCCTTTGTCTCTTTCTTTCATACTCGAGTCATGACCAGTAACCTCATCCCATCCTATTCTGCCTACTGCCCATATCAAGCACACCAAACCCTTTCTACACACCTTTTGCAGCTCGCATTCTTGGAATAACTTAGCCACTAGCTTCACCTCTTTGCACAGCCATCCATTCCCGTATTTGTCAGGCCAGATTTTTCGTGCCTCCCTCCTGGCTGAAGCTTCAATCCAGGCATGCCCCCTTTTAGCTTGGACGTCCTGTCTTCCCTCCTATGAACCTCTCTTGCACATGACCCAGTAGAGCTGCATACTAACATCTTCTCAGTGTCTTTCATTTACCAAACGTTCGACACATGCTCACCATGCCTAGACGCCTGACGATTCTGGATGATGACTTTACCATCCCATACACCAGAATCGACATCAACTTCACTTTTTTCAGTCATGCCCAACTATTTATCCTTCTCTTTTCATCTATACATTAGCTTGTTAATCCAATCCTGTTCCAGCCATACGCCCTGTCAGTCATCAAGATACATCATACTATAATGGTGGTCATAATATTTAACAAAATCTACATGCCACTGTGGGGTTCATTCCGTTGTTGCCTGTTGTCGGAAAGGGGGGGATGTGACCCGTTGGGACTTGAAGGGCGCCTGGTTTGGAGCGCGACCACCGTGGAGGAGCTGGATTTTCAGTGACATAGCATGTCTGCCTTTCAACATAGCTCCTGTGTAGCTGTTTTTGGCGCATTTCCTAAAAACAAACGCCGCCCTCTCACCTGCAAGGTTGTGAAGGGAATTTTTTGACGTGCTCAATATTCAACCCAAGAAATTTGCATGGGCGCCAAAGCCGGTCTGCTATGCTGACCAACACAAGATGGTCTGTCATGAAATGGCGCTGGCCCGACTTGCCCCGTGGGGTTTGGTTTGGGCGTGGGTGTTGGGCCAGGGTGTAGCCAGATCATCACAAGAAAGGCAGGGTCGCACAGGGGTGCGACGCCAGTTCCAAAGATGTGGGGCGAATTGTGCATCTATGGCCACTTAAGAATCGCCTAGTCTGGACAAGGCGGTTGTGATGGGCAGGGGGCACAGATACGACTGGATCCGCATGCCGAGTGTCACCGTGTTAACGCTCTGACTTCCACAAAAACAAAGGAATCACCACCGCACAGGCGCACATGCAGCCCGGGACCAATGGCATTCGAAAGGTTTCTTACTCCTGTTGATCAACGTCCGTCATGAATGAAGCAGGGATGGCAGATCTGCGCTCGACACCCTCACGCAGTGCTCGATTCTGATGACGATACATCCTCGGGCAGAATCGACGTCAAGCAGGAGGCGAGCTGCCGTCAGCACATAAAGGCACCATCGACCAACCTGCTCGTGTCCAGTGGTCCACCACGCAATCATGCACAGGTGCTTCCGTCCAATCCACCGGTTTCCCACAGATGCTTGCAAATAACTTCAGCACGCTGCACATTAATGGCAGGCTCAGGGACCAAGCAGGCCTCCCATTCTCAGCGCACAAAACCCCTGATTCAATAACAACAATGGCATCTGCCAGCAAGATGCAGGCTCTGCACTGACACGACAGTTCCCAGTAACGCGCTGGCTGTTGGCCCAGATCTTGACTCCTGTGGCACACCCCCCTCGTCCATGGCCCAGCTGACAGGTCACTGCAACCTGGGATGATGGACACCCATGCTGTCCATCATGTTGTCAATCTCAATGCTCATTTCCTTGAAGATACTTTCGTACAAATGAAATTTGGGGTCCACAGCCTTCAGCCCCTGCTGCGGCTTGTACTTCAACTTCACAGAGCGCACAACATCCCGCTTCTGATTCTCAACCTTCTTTGACAACTTCTCCAGGTCCATCTTAAAATACAAGAATGCATTCTTTCTTATCCTCTCGTCGCTTTCCGCACCGTCCTCCGTCTTGACGCCTGCACAGGCCACAGTCTGCCACTCAAACGGCTTAACTGTTTCTGTCCCAACAACCAAGCCCATCTTTTCCATCGGTACCCTATCTTTTCCACCTGCACCATGAGGACTGCACATTCTTGCCCTGATCGTCGCTCCGAACCCATCGAAAAATTGTGGAATGTTGTCTCCCAGCCAGCTGCTGTCTTTGGGAGCAACGCCCTCCAGCTCCCACTGCGCCTCTGCATGGAAACTAAGCACAAGGTCTTCCGGCCCCTGGAGCGACCAGTACCACACGCCCGCCTTGGGGTTGTCAGCAAACCTCTGGCCAGATATGGCGATCCAGCTCTCGCCCTGGCACCTGCTGGCCAGGCCACGAACGCCCCCCGCATCGCGAAAGTTCAGGAAACAGTAGTGGCCGTCATCTTCGATAATCCCACGTACGAGGAAGAAGTTGTACTGACCCTCAAGGCCGAGGGAGTCCAGAATCTGCACAAGCTGCTGTGTGTTGCAGTCTGTTGGCAGTGGGCCAAGGACAACAGTCGTGCGCTCCTCAGAGCATACCTCCAGGTTCACTGGTGTATGTATGAACTCACTGTTTGAGATGGCCATCGGCCCCACCAGCCCCGCCTGAGGATCATCATCGCAGCCTTCTGGAAGACACAGCATTCCTCCTGGATCTGCAGCTTGATTTGGTTCAAAACATGTAACCCCTCTGTCCAATGGGAGTATTGTGTTTGCCCTGGATACAGTCGACCGGGATGCCTTGTCCTTGCGGCACATGAACACCCCAGCCTCCAATCTGGGTCTCTTTCCAATGCTGTTGGCCAAACTCGTTTGAAAGCGCTTCCCCACACCAGGCTGCCTGTGCTGCAAGAACAGTGCCTTGAGGGCCGCAACTTGATCCTGGCTGAGCTTGAAATGGAACTTGTGGCCATCGTAGTAGTTCTCCCATATCGCCTCCCTGAATTCGTCCTCTACCAACACAGTGCGAATCCTTTCCGCACGCCGAACCTTCACCTGCAGAACGCGATCGCCCCGCACAAGCAGCAATGCCTCAGACCAGGTGAGCGCTGAAGAGTTTCACTTGAGCATCAGCAAATTTGTATGCACTCTTTGCAGCATAAAAGCGCAAGCAAACACGCTCCAATCTTCGATGGTTGGCGCACAATTGCACCGGCAGCTGCATGAGGATCAACACTCCCCAGCCACACCCCACCCATTTGGGAGTGAAAATGTTATCCTGCACCGAAAGCATTCTGCGACAACATTTGAACACATCCCGCACGGATCCACTGCGCACGTGGCCGGGACGTCCAGACCGCTGGGGAGCCGTCCCTGCGTCCTTCTCTGCGCCTGTCAGTGCGCAAGCGAAAGCGACACCATTCCGCCCCGCCAGCCGATCGCGAGCGCACTCGGACGACCCGCTGTCACCACAGCCCCTCCATCACCGAGCGCCCAAGCGTATCTGGGCGTCGCTCCCTCGATCCATCCGTTGCATTCGCAGATTCTCAAGCCCCCCCCTCCACGCTCACAAAGGACGCCAAAGCCCCACCACGCCTTTCAGACCCCAATTTGTCGACCCCCTTGCGCGACCTGTCTCTGTTTTCCTGCCCCGATCTGCGCGGGGCCTCCGCACCTGCGACGGAAACCGCCCGCCGAATGCCGCCGGCACCAGGTCCAATCCGCCGCAGGACGCCGCCTCGAACCCTCCGTGTAACTCCCGTCTCCCGAAGTTAAACAGGAACAGCGGCGTGCCGGGCATGATGGTCGCCACCTCCTCGCTGCACTTGGTGGAGCTGCCGAAGAGATTGCGGGTCAGGCACTCCGTCATTGTCTGCTCAGTGCAGCCGAATATGTAGCCCGCGAGAGCTCGCGGCGGGGCGTGGTCGCTGGCGGGCATGGCGCGGCGGGCGGCCCCCGGAGACGGGTGGCCGAGGGGCGGAAGGGGCCGACGCCCGGAAGGGGGGGGGGGGACGGGTGCGGGCCTTCCGCTGGGGTTTCTGTTCGTTGACCTGTGGTCCGACCTGATCAGTGCTGGCAAGCATGCCAAATCGCCCAGGCAGTAGTTTGTGAGGGCTGAACGCAAACTGTGGAGCGTACGAAGCACCCCTGTGGAGTTTGGTGCTTTTCATCTATATGCCTATTTATACCTGGTAGTCTTCTGGTCTACGTTGGTACGGTAGCTGTGTCTACAAAGTAACGGAAGCTGGCATAGGAAGATGTGTCAGCGGTGGGCATAGACGCCCTAAACGGGAACGTGTACGTGCCCATGAAGTTTGGCTTGCTGAAACGGAAACGCAAACATGTGCACGACGTTCGGACTTCAAAACGGGATCGTGAACGTGCGCCCCGCGTTTGAGTTGTGGAAACGTGAACGCCGACGTCTGGCAGTCGTTGGAGTTTCTGAAGCTTTCAATGAAACGAGAATTCAACACAACACACACTTTCCTAGGCCACTGACCCTTGCACCAAGCTAACGGGTCGGTTGGGTGAAGCACGAGGGCCGACTTGACCGAGCAGGAGGTTTCTGAACGGGTGGGCTTGTAGAACCGATGAGCCAATCACAACTAAATGGCAATCGATTCAGACAAAAGAACAGAACTAACTAGTACTGGAGCAATGTTGAAGCAAGGAGTAATTTAGAAGTACAATGCCACTGCAAGACTGGTGTACTTGGGTGGCAAACACAAAAGCTAAGGGCCACCATACGTTTGAGCGTCAAAACAGGAGCGCAAACGGGCGTTGTGTGTTTGGGCATCTGAAACGGGATACAAATGTGCGGAGTGCGTGGGGAGTTTTGAAACGGGAACTAAACTTGTGATTCATGTTATGTTGACGTTTGGGACCAAACGAAACGAAAACGTGAAAAACACGTTCGTTTATGAAGTTAACTATCATGTTAATGGGTTTCTGCCAAGGGCGACGTTGGGTGGGCTGCACCGGCGATTCAAACGGTGCAGTTTGAACCTGGGGTTTACTCAACCCCGTCCCTTGGGATTTCTGGCCACCCCTAGTACCGTGGGTCAGTCAAAGTACGGTATTCCGAGGTGCCGCCCATGAGGGCGCCCTCGAGTTTGGCGGGCTTTGGCGGGGCGGCGGAGGGCGGCTATTTAGGCAGCCCCTCGGTCCCCCTCCTTATCTTGTTTCGCACCCAGCCCTCCCGCCCTGGAAAGTGGAGTTCGGGTTAGTTGTGGGATGGTGAGGGAGTTGAGGGAGTGAAGTACAGGAAAGGGAGCTGACTCATGGTGAGTCACTCACTGAAGTGGCATTGAAGTACTAGCGAAGCGAATGGGCAAGTTTAATGGACGGGAACCTCGGGAATGTGACGATTGACGGTTGTTTGTAATTATTGTCATGGGGGTACATGACTGGGTGGGCTCAGGAAACCGGTAAGGCAGAAATACCCACCACTGAGATGTGTGATGCCCAGGCGTGACAAAGACTGACAGGATGGGTTTGCGAAGATGTGACGGCCCTTGCTTTGATGAACGGAAACGAGACGTTGTCGCCTTGAAGATGGGATGTACCAATGCTGAGACGTTAGCAAAAAGATGAGCCTGAGGATAAGCCCGCATGGAGCTGCACTGTAGCCCTGCTGGTTTTAGAAGACTTGCTCGGCGACTGCTGCAGATGACCGCCCCGTTTTGAGGATGTGCTTGATGGCAAGATGACGTTGTTGAAGGTAGGCAGGGTCGAGTGGTGGCGATCCCTGAACGGGAATCGTACGCCCGAGTCCACGGCAACGGTTTACAGCTGAGGCAAAAGGACAACAGGAGCTCTGTCCCCTTGTACAGTCCGTTCATCAACGACTTCAATGCAATTCCTAGTGCTTCATCATTTTTTCATGCATTCAGTTGTTAATAATACTCAATCAATTCTAGTTACAACAACGTGCCGTGGCCTTGAAGATGAGCAGTGAGGGTTATTCGTGGAGACATGCATGAACAAGAGCCTTAATGAGAAGGCGTGCCCACTTGATGACCAGCCGCAACCCTTTTACTGATCTACATGGGAGAAGGGGTGTGCTCCGACGCGCAGAGCTTGGCGGCACCATGGCACAACATGGCAGCAGTGGCGGTAGAGGTGGCCCCATCTGTCCGTCCCCAACAGAATTTGTTTGGCTCCGTTAAAATTCTGTACAATCAACAGAATTTATGAGGGAGCCACAGAGAAAAAAAGCGTTTTACAGAAACGGGTAGGGCCATACTGACGTCAGCATACACAACTACAGAAATCCACACAGCCTTACAGAATGAAACCAAGTGTTACAGAATTCGCGCCGCCGTCTACGGATGATAGGCACCCGCAACAGAACCGCTGACCGGACCACAAAGGTCGACAGAATTCCATAAAAAATCGATGGCAATCGCTGCCAGGAAGGGCCCGCACTTATGATTTATAGTATGCTGTGATGATGTGTTCTGTGTGTGTGCTGCCTCCAGCCAAGTACCGGCAGCGATCGCTGCTGGGAAGGGCCCGCACTTATGATTTATAGTACGCCGTGATAATGTGTTCTGTGTGTGTGCTGCCTCCAGCCAAGTACTGGCAGCGATCGCTGCCGGGAAGGGCCCGCACTTATGATTTATAGTATGCCGGGATGATGTGTTCTGTGTGTGTGCTGCCTCCAGCCAAGTACCGGCAGCGATCGCTGCTGGGAAGGGCCAGCACTTATTATTTATAGTACGCCGTGATAATGTGTTCTGTGTGTGTGCTGCCTCCAGCCAAGTACTGGCAGCGATTCGATACGCCTCTATTCGCGACAAGCTTCCAGAATCTCAAAGTCCATGACGGATGGCAACGGAATGCCAGGAAAGGCAACGGAAAAAAAAAAACATCTTTACAGAAATTGGTGGCTGCAAACACCCCCTTGACGGACAGCTCCAGAGCCAAAAAACTGGAAGCTGATGTGGCATGAACGGCAACAGAAAACCGGCCCCGGTAAAACAACAGAAAAGTAACGGACGGATTTTTTGTCTTGAAAAAAAATACGGACAGAAAATAACAGAAAAAAAGCTGAGCGGCCACGTCTAAGTGGCGGTTGCCATGGCGCTGCATGGTAGCAGTGGCAATTACCCCGGCGGAGCATGGCAGCAGTGGTGGTCACCACGGCGCTGCAGGGTGGCATTGGCGGTTATCCCAACATGGCGTGGCGTCTCGAGGCGTGGCATGGAAGGGTATCGTGTTCGGAAGCCAAGGGCAACGATGCGGGTAATAGCGGAGACTCTCTTGTTAGGCGCTGAATGTCTTAATTTCTAGGGCTCTGGATCCACGGCACCTTGGGTACGCAGGCGTATATGCTTGGCATTGTGCTTTGTGGGTAATGATGTTAGGGTGACGGAATATCATATTTCTGAACATGCCAAGTATGGGGCTGCGTTACCGTGGCATAGAGTACTGAGGGAATGGGTGATGGTGGATGTGAGCGGGCTGGGTACACACTTGGGTGCGTGGAAATGTTACCAAAGGGGCACTGACGACACGGGCACTTGGCGGGAACGTGTGCAAATGAGATGTGAGAGGTACTGGTTGTTGGAGGTTTCTTGGTAGCGTTACCTTGCTTGGCGACGGAACCTGCGCTAGGACTATATATGGACGCACGGCTTTTGCCTGTAACGAACACGAACCTTGGCCCCACTTCGTTGTTCTCTGCGTGCACTTGGGCATTGTGTCCCGCTTCCGGTCGACTATGCCGCCCTGAAAGTCGCCCATTGTGGGTGCATTGTAGACGTGGCCGCTCAGCGTTTTTTCTGTTATTTTCTGTCCGTATTTTTTTTCAAGACAAAAAATCCGTCCGTCACTTTTCTGTTGTTTTGCCGGGGCCGGTTTTCTGTTGCCGTTC